ATCACAACCAAATGCAGACCTTGAACCAGGTGCTACAAAGGCCCGCTTTCTCCCACTGAAAATGCGGATCGGCTAAGTGTCAAGACAAACCTGCGCTCGCTCCTCATCACTGAGGTCGTCAACTGCTAGTGGCTGGTGTAATGGAGGTGCAGGTGCTTGTTGTGATGTTACCCTCGTGCTGCTGGTGCTAGGCCATGGATCTTCTCGATCTTGTTGGTCAGCAGGCGGCATGGGGGATGGGCGTGTATTACATTTGCTGCTAGGCTCCTCAACCTCGGTGGTTGGGCTAGCAGGCTGCTCGGTGAGCTCGGCATCTGACTCGACATGTAGGTCCTCAGTTTATTTGCTCTTGGCAGTGCCCAGCCATTTTCGGATTTCCATGCTGATCAAAGTTTAGTCAAGTAGCTATAATTATTCAGTGCCCCACTACCTAAACTTATTGACCCCGCCCTGGAATCCAATGAGCTTCCTAAACAAGGGAATGAAGGCGGTACCTTTTGACATTGCATGGCTAGGTGCCCAATCAGAAATACATTTTGAGATTTGAAATACTAAATATTACATCCCCCCTCCCTCCCCCTCCTCAGATCATGACAGCACACCAGCATATAGCCTCTGTCACAGTCTGCGCTACTGGTAGGCCCAGCGGCGCTACATTGGCAAAACCGGGCATGGTCATTCATATACGATTTGTTATATTTATGGGGAAACAAAACTGAGGAGGCACAAATTCTATCGGGGGGGGGGGTCCATGCCCGGCTTTGCCACCATGTAGAGCCGGCCCTGGGGCAGACTACGTAAACATAAATGGTACCGCAAATCTCTCTTTATACTATGGGCACCGATAGCTAATGAGCAGCAATAGTTCCGGTGCTTGGGTTTTTGCCACAGTTTTTTAGAGTTTTTTTTACGATTTCGCGGGTCTATAGCATCTTTCAAATTTCGAAAGGGGAAGTGACATTCAGCCCATAGACTTGCCTGTAACTTGCAAAGCAAGAGGGTGGAGCTCCTTGTCCCGGTTCCGCTCCTCGTTCTAGCATCTCTTCATCTCTTCTCTTAACACATATGGACCCAGAACTTAATCGAGCAGCTGACCAATTACACAAGACATTAGTTCTGGGTTAACCGAGATTACCCTAATACAAATATTGTATAATCATCAACACAACTGGACAGATTTTGTGTTATTAGACCTTTTTGGGAGAATGTTCTTACACCTTTCCCACAATGTAATGAAATGTTTTGGGAACATTCACAGAACCAGTTTTAGTTTGCTGGGCATAGACTGTGTAATTAAAATGAAGAATGTCATGTTAACCTGTGAGCCCGAGAGTGCGCCTATTCCAAATAATCTATTTCAGGAGAAACCGCTCTCACTGAGAGTTCAGCACCATGGTAGTGGATAGCGCCACTCTGCAGCAGGCCGCTCCCAGCCCCCGACAGCTCTGATAATAAGGAGATTGTGCACACCTGTGGAAGACTGTGAGCTGCTAGAACAGATAAATGTTTGGCACGGTCAGGGGCAAACCTGTATGGCGAACGAATGCCATTTGTGACTCATTTCAGAAAACTAGGCATATGTCGCGCGTCACTACTTCACAGGAGAGCCATTTGAACGTAAACTATTTATTTATCAAAATGCGTTTTTTGGCAGAAATACCTTCTGGAACATGTGAACTTTCATGTGCCTTAATAACAAACTTGTATGCCATCTGTAAATATGAATACAATAGTTAAATTACGAGCCTAGTTGGTTTAGCCACAGAAAAAGACAGGAACCTTCCCGCTAGCCATGATTGGCTGAGATATTGGGTGGGCTGGACATGCCGAGAGATGAGTTCGGATTGGTCTGCTATATAGCACGCTTCTGTATATTACATGAGCTGGTCAGTGTGTGTAGGTAATCCTTTCTAATGTGGCTTTTTTAAATATATATCACGTAGTAGAACTGCAAAGGTGTTGCTCTCCACTTTCTGGAGGACCGAGTTTTGAAATTAGTGGAATGCACAGTGGAATTAGAGTAGGATAGCTAAGGAGATGGAGAAAATTCTGGCATTTGATTGCAAATATGCAGACGGAGTCGAAAAGAGAACACACAGTATGGCTGTTGTATAAAACCCCTGTCTCCGGATTACATCTTCAAACTAAGGCAACCATGGCATTCGTGACAGAGAGAGAGAAGCGTCCATCCTTGTATGCGGGTAAGATAGTCTAGCTAGCTACATTTTCAGATATTACACTTTCTAATTTTGTCAGAAAGTCATTTTCATTTCAAGTTAAAGCATACTGTTAGCTAGCTAGCTAACGTTAGCTGGCTGGCTAGCTAGCTAACGTTACGTGTATGATCTGTGTAGTAATATTATTCATATCTCAGAGCCATTTGCATTGCTAGTTATAGCCTAATGTTAGCTAGCTAACATTGAACCTGGTTGGTTAGCTAACTGCAGATTCATGCAGGGTAGTAACGTTATGAGATGGGATTATGGTTCATTGTTTAGCTAGCTAGCTAGCTACATGTCTAAACAAAAGACTCCACTATGCAAGTAACCATTTTAATAGAACGTTCATGATGTCACTGCGACAACTGTCGAACAGACGTAGCTGGTAAATTTGCTCTGGCTATCTACTCCGATTTCAGAGCACTCGTCTGAGTGTTCCAGAGCGCAGAATAACTGACGAAATTACGAACGCTCAACACCTGTTGAATATGGCCGGTGTCAGTAAACGTTGGCAAAAAAGCGTATTTAAATTGTTGCCAGCAGCACAGTTGCAGCTCTGAATAACATAAAAACAGCCTAACCAGCTCTGCTAGCACACTCTGGCACTCCAGTTTGAATTTACGAACACACTGTAGTATAAACCAGCCTTTAGGCTTGAAATCTTTGGTTGTTTAGTACATGGCCTCACATGTGAATCCTTAAAGAGCTGGGTGGGGCTAAAACTTAAGAGGGTGTGAACGATGCTGAATGGGTGTAGACAAAGAAGAGCTCTCCAGTAGGTGTATCAAAACATTCAAGGCATTTTTCCTCAAAAGTGAGGTTACAAGTTTATCAACTTTCAAAGCAGAATTAATGTCCCATTGTTCCTCAACTGTAGTGTATGATATACCATTTTCTATCTGAGTCTCTACTTTTATCCAATGTAAAAAACACAATTTCAAATGTTGCTACATAAGACCGAATCAAGCCGGTCGGTCACATTTGATTTTGATTACATCCCCAAGTTTTAGACTTAGAAAACAATGGGGAATAAAACCTGGATTTGATTGAACTGCAAGAACTGTTCACAATATTCCTGAATTATACACCACATAGACTAAAGTGAAACCAGCCGCCATATAAGGTAGTCTGTCTCTGTTTTGTGTCAGCAGTGCCACTCCATGTTTCAGGTCCTTTAGTCACTGTTCAGTTTTATCTCAGCATAGTCTTGTAAAATGTGTTGTTTTGTTCATATTACTGTAAATTTGGAACTTCTTCAAAGTAAAATGTTCACAATGCAATGATTTGTGAAGTCAAAGGCATGTTTCAGCTGAGTGAGTTTTGTTTATTGCAGTCCACAGGACTTTCGCTGAACCAACCACTTCATAAATGATGTTAGAACTGTGCGTGTGAAAGAATCTCACTCTCTTGCCGGTCTACCTGTTTTGAAACATTTGTGATGGATGAAAAATGTATTCCCTTGCTATGACAGGGTATGGGAGGCCTTGCACTTCCCCCTCCATCCTTGTTCCTTAGAGATTGTGGGAGTTGAATCAAGAGAATTGACAAATTAGGGGAGCTGAAATGCCCCGTGAAAACCTATTAGAGTGTATTGTACAGTGTACATATTAGGACATCCAGGCTAAAATAGTCAATTGTCAGACTTAGCACTGTACAATACCACTGGATGTGAGACACAGTCTTCAACCAAACTGGACCTGATCCGGTGCAGAACCAAACGCTACCAAAGCAATGCTGTACCTATATGACTAGGCTGCTCAACCAGTGAGCATTGCACTGACAGTTGGATTATTGTGACTTTGTTTTACCTGACTGTACCATACCAGACCCAAAACAGCCACCTTACCTGTAGCACTGACATTTAAAATAAAGAAAATATGTATTTTAACTGTGTATTTTCATTTGATCGTTCTTGTGTTTTCTTCATATATTTACTATGTAAATTGTATCAAATAATTCAGTCTTCAATGCCATTGATACTATCTCTCTCCTTTGCTACCATTCTCTCTCTCCCCCTCTCTCTCTCCCTCCCTCTCTCCCTACCACCCTCCCTCCCTCCCTTGGTGTGTAACTAGATGGGCTGCATTTCGATCAAAGTGCATTACACATTTATACAATGAGTTTTCCACTAGTGTGTTTGATTTAGAAATCCCAAAGCCAACGGTGGCTACACTCATAAACTTTTCAGCCTGCTTCGCCGTCATGACTGACATAGCGAGGTCATCTACAAACCACAGCACTGACCATTTCTGTATGAAGTGTCAACTCCCTCCTCCAAGGACATGCTTCTGTACAAATCAAACAGACCTGTGAAAGTGTTTTGTATAAAAACGTAGAATGCACCACGATTGAATTCCACAGACGAACTCAGACCAAACAGTATCCCTGGTAAGTATTTTTGACTAGTTAAATGGTCTCTCTTCCTATGTGCCACACGCTCGTTATCCTGCAGGCTTTCTGTCATTCATGGTTCATTTGGAATCGATCATGGACCTCAATTTGAAAACACAAACTCAATGCATTCATGCTCGGGTACAATGTCTTACGAACTGTAGGAAAGGAGACATGAGACGTGAAGGAAGACATTGAGAGGAAGAGAGAGTATGCATTCTGGACACCTCAGACTGAGTTCACCTACAGTAAATGTGCTCACTTCAGCCTAATAAAGTCACTCAAACTTCATAATGTGGTAAAAAAAAAAAACAGTGTTCAGTAAGGGAGAGTAATTAAACAATGAAGCGCATGCATGACCCCCCCAATGTGAATGTGCATATTTCTTACCCGTTTGCGCAAATTGCAGGTGAGAATTAGGTTGCGGGAGAATGTGTTAGCGAAAGCAGTGTAGAACTCCAACACCTTCAGCAGAGCATCTCTCCGAATGACGTGCAAGTCGCAGTAGGTGAGAGCCCGCACATTGGCACAAGCATGTGCCAGATTGTCTTCCTTCCAGAAGACATCCCCGAACACATCTCCCTTACCTGAGGAAAACGAAAAGTAGCATTACCCAAAAAATTCACCCCAAATTTGTTACTAGTTAGGTTTCCATCTAATTGGCGACAGATTTTCAAACGAATATTCTAAAATTGGCATAAAGAGAATATGCAAATTCTCCCACCAGTGGTGTGTTCCCACCAAACATACTGTTTGCGGATAAAAACCAGTGCGTGATGATGTAGTGCACACAAATATTAAAATCTAAAGGTCAATGCGTCTCCATCGCATTTTCAACTCTACCGATAGTTTTGTCACAAAAACTGTTGCGTTAGCTAGCAAATGTGCCTACTCTGATCTTGGCACATGCGCTTTAGCCAACAGCTCGCAGATACAGTGTGGATAGGCTGTCTGGGTAGGCTAGTTTACATGATGAGATTATTATGGATAAGAGTGAGAATATTTTTATTTGTCAAACGACAGTCAAGCAACGATCATCATGTCACCAGAATAAGACCCCCGACATTTATTGGAAAGTAGCATCAAGTACATCACCGTGCACTTTCACCACCCTGTGAAGTTCATCATAACTTATTTCATGTGTAGCCTAATAAACTGCATGGTTTCCGGAGTCGTAGTCTGGTCGTAGTGGGAGGACCACACACCATATCATCGCGTGACTCCAAGTTAACTTCGACATGATGGTTATTATATAAATATTTGTGCATAAAGGCATTTCCACCACCAATTTTTGCATAATTAATTTTACCGACACAAAAAGATCCCACCCTGTCGAACGAACAAATTATCTGTTTGCATGTATGAAATGAGTTGGTTAGTGTCATCAACAGAGTAACTTAAGGAAAAGTGTTGCTTTGCCACCCTCTCCACCTTTTCAACCTTAAAAGCCTGGTGCAGTCAAAAGCGTGCTTTTCCTGTGTTTATATATATGTCCATTTACATTTTACATTTAAGTCATTTAGCAGACACTCTTATCCAGAGCGACTTACAAATTGGTGCATTCAACTTAGGATAGCTAGTGGGACAACCACCACTGGGGGAGGGGGTGGGGGTGTAGAAGGATTACTGTTAGACTATTACAGGTATTCCTTAAAGAGGTAGGATTTCAAGTGTCTCCGGAAGGTGGTCAGTGACTCCGCCGTCCTGGCGTCGTGGTGGAGCTTGTTCCAACATTGGGGTGCCAGAGCAGCGAATAGGTTTGACTGGGCTGAGCGGGAACTGTGCTTCCGTAGAGGTAGGGGGTCTAGCAGGCCAGAGGGGGATGAACGTAGTGCCCTCGTTTGGGTGTAGGGTCTGATCAGAGCCTGAAGGTTCACACTATGAGGTTGGAATAATACTGTGAAATTGTGAAAATTATGATAATGCCCTTTTAGTGTAAGAGCTATTTGAAAAGACAGCCTGACATTTCAGCCTGTTTTGGTGGGATGGAGTTTTGGCCTGCCTAGACCAATAAGAAAGAGAGTTCCAAACCTCTCTGCCAATAACATTTCGTTTTCAGTTTTCCCCTCCCTGCTCAGACCACTCCCAGAGCAAAATTCTTCCTTGAGAAATGGCTCTTTGTTAAGAAGCTATTTTTGTTTCTACTTAATTGTTACCCAGAAATTATTTGATATTGAGATAAAAACAGCTGCATTGGGCCTTTAAGCACAGTGACAGAGCACAGGGATTGATGTGTGTGTAGTTTATCCACAATTCAAAATCTAGAACTTGGTAGAGGGAACACTTCAGGGAGTTTTAACAGTAACTCATGCAAGGTACACTTATTTTTAAGATTCCCTGCTGTTCATTGGTTTCCTTACCCTGTAAGCAGTCTATTGACAAGGTATGACAGAAGGTATGACAGCATTTTCTAGTTTCATGTCCAAATTATCCTAAAGTATGTCAAATTGATTGTGTAGCTCAATTAAGTTCCTTATTGATGATTTGGACAATTTCTGCCACAAATTGTAAAACGTTAGCATTTGGAACAGTGGCCAGATTGGTGTACCTTGCATGAGCTACCGTTAAACTCCCTGAAGTGTTCCCCCTACCAAGTTCCCCCCACTAGATTTCGAACTGTGGAAAAACTACACACACAACAAAAGTTTCTTGCTTTTAATGATCCTGTTTTGTATTTCTGTTTTTTTTCTTTGTATTTCCTATTTGTTGATTGCCTTTCGTATTCGTAACTGATGTGTGTATTTTGTATTCTGCAGAGATCATTTGAAAAATAGACCTTGGTCTCAACATGACTCCTTGTTTTAATGTTTTTTCATTTTTTTATGTTTTAATACAACATAGATATCTCTCATACCTTGTCCATAGACTGCTTACAGGGTAAGGAAATGTGGGTGAACTATCCACTTAAACACTGCCTAACTTTGCCTTGAGAGCATAGTACAACTGTCCTTCCCTATAATAACACAAATCTAAACAAAAATATATCTATTGCTTCAAAATGTCAAGTTCATAGATTGTCATTCCATGAACAGCATTCTCAGGGTATTTTAAGACAAACACAAACACATGTGCTCCTCTCAGTTTAATCCTTAATTGATTCAGAATTTATCAGCGGTGCCACAGATTTCAGGGGTGCCACACATCCCAGGGGTGCTTACCTAGAATGGCGATGACCTCGTCGTCCTGAATAACTTCCAATGACCCGGATACTACAAAGCAAAGGGTGTCCACACTTTCGCCAGCGTGGAATATGAGGTCCCCTGGGGCGCAGTGTGTGGTTTGGAACTCAACCGCTAGAGAGCGCAAGCAGCCATCACTGGCCAGTCGAAATGCTGGGTGCTCATTGAACACCTGTCTATTAAGGTGGACACAGATGTCTGCTCGCATATCTTTGGGACAGATTGACAGGACCTAAAAGGGAGGGTACAAGAGCATAATTTGGTCATACTAACACTGGGATAGTGTTAAAAACAAGTTACAGAGCATCTTCAACAAGAGCAAGCTTAAAATTATAAATAATCTTTAGGTCAGTGGTGTCATATTTATTTTGCCCCAGGAGCCACATTCATGGCTTGCCACCAAACTGTAAAAACAAATACTCATGTATCTATCATTTTGGGGATTTTCGATGCTTCCTGAATGTTCAGCTTTTTTAGGGCTTGTTAGTGGACGAGACACAGTGAATAGATATACTGTATGATTCCCTGATATTACACACTGAAGCATGTACATTTTACTATGCTGGTGAGAATCACATTGGCGTGTTCCATATTACCACACCAGCCTTGAAAATAAAAGAGTTCTCAATTCAAACAAGGTTATAGCACAGTGACTGGTGTAACTGTAACTGACCTTAAATGTAATTTTCGGATTGAGCCGAGATTCACTGCGAACGCGGGAACATTGCCTTTAAAAGCTGCATTGTTGACAGCTTTATAGACTGAATCCCTGCCTATGTATTTTAAAATATATTCAATGGAATCCCAGTGTCCTCATGTTGTAAAGCCTATATTTACGGTTATTGATGTTTATTAAAGTGGCAGGAAAGTGGCAGGGGTTGGCAACAGGTGAGAAAAATATTTCCCCCCCCCCCAAAAAAAATGAGACACGATTCTAGCTCTGAGTCTACACTATTATCCAATGAAAAAAAAAATACATTTCAAATTTTGCAACATATGACTGAATCCAGGTAGTGGGTCACAAATCTTAGGTAATTGAGGATTTTCTTAAATGGAGGACACAGATGCTCAAATCTAAGATCATTTTAATAGCCTTCTTTGTTTTTATTGATCTGCACAATATATGAAATAATATTGTTTAGTTTCCAGCATTCAAAATAATAGATAGATATCTCTAAATCCCCAAAACATGTCACTACAACTTTACTCATCACTACTGGACAATTTGCCTGCCCTAAGTACTATAAACAATGTATAAAGATTAAGTTTTAATGTGGCAATATGTAGCTTTTTGGGCGACCTGACCAAATTCACATAGAAATGTGAGTTATACAGTGGGGAAAAAAAGTATTTAGTCAGCCACCAATTGTGCAAGTTCTCCCACTTAAAAATATGAGAGAGGCCTGTAATTTTCATCATAGGTACACGTCAACTATGACAGACAAAATGAAGAAAAAAAATCCAGAAAATCACATTGTAGGATTTTTAATGAATTTATTTGCAAATTATGGTGGAAAATAAGTATTTGGTCAATAACAAAAGTTTTTCAATACTTTGTTATATACCCTTTGTTGGCAATGACACAGGTCAAACATTTTCTGTAAGTCTTCACAAGGTTTTCACACACTGTTGCTGGTATTTTGGCCCATTCCTCCATGCAGATCTCCTCTAGAGCAGTGATGTTTTGGGGCTGTCGCTGGGCAACACGGACTTTCAACTCCCTCCAAAGATTTTCTATGGGGTTGAGATCTGGAGACTGGCTAGGCCACTCCAGGACCTTGAAATGCTTCTTACAAAGCCACTCCTTCGTTGCCCGGGCGGTGTGTTTGGGATCATTGTCATGCTGAAAGACCCAGCCACGTTTCATGTTCAATGCCCTTGCTGATGGAAGGAGGTTTTCACTAAAAATCTCACGATACATGGCCCCATTCATTCTTTCCTTTACACGGATCAGTCGTCCTGGTCCCTTTGCAGAAAAACAGCCCCAAAGCATGATGTTTCCACCCCCATGCTTCACAGTAGGTATGGTGTTCTTTGGATGCAACTCAGCATTCTTTGTCCTCCAAACACGACGAGTTGAGTTTTTACCAAAAAGTTATATTTTGGTTTCATCTGACCATATGACATTCTCCCAATCCTCTTCTGGATCATCCAAATGCACTCTAGCAAACTTCAGACGGGCCTGGACATGTACTGGCTTAAGCAGGGGGACACGTCTGGCACTGCGTAGTGCGTTACTGATGGTAGGCTTTGTTACTTTGGTCCCAGCTCTCTGCAGGTCATTCACTAGGTCCCCCCGTGTGGTTCTGGGATTTTTGCTCACCGTTTTTGTGATCATTTTGACCCCACGGGGTGAGATCTTGCGTGGAGCCCCAGATCGAGGGAGATTATCAGTGGTCTTGTATGTCTTCCATTTCCTAATAATTGCTCCCACAGTTGATTTCTTCAAACCAAGCTGCTTACCTATTGCAGATTCAATCTTCCCAGCCTGGTGCAGGTCTAGAATTTTGTTTCTGGTGTCCTTTGACAGCTCATTGGTCTTGGCCATAGTGGAGTTTGGAGTGTGACTGTTTGAGGTTGTGGGCAGGTGTCTTTTATACTAATAACAAGTTCAAACAGGTGCCATTAATACAGGTAACGAGTGGAGGACAGAGGAGCCTCTTAAAGAAGAAGTTACAAGTCTGTGAGAGCCAGGAATCTTGCTTGTTTGTAGGTGACCAAATACTTATTTTCCACCATAATTTGCAAATAAATTCATTAAAAATCCTACAATGTAATTTTCCGGATTTTTTTTTCTCAATTTGTCAATCTATCATTTTACTTGAAAGCAAGTCAAAGAAGCAGTAGATCTGTTCTATGTGCGCTATTTTATGCTTCCCGTTCTTAAGTTTTTAGCTTATTTTGTCACATAAACTGAAATGAGGCGAACTATTCGAGTTTTAGCAACCAGGAAATGGCGGAGCGATTTCTGCATAGTGCAACTTTAATATATTATATATTATGTTTTATTGTTATGCAGTGTAAAGGACTTGCATTTTGTTTTTTAATTAATAAACTGTTCAATATAAACAAAAACATGTACAGTGAGGGGGAAAAAGTATTTGATCCCCTGCTGATTTTGTAAGTTTGCCCACTGACAAAGAAATGATCAGTCTATAATTTTAATGGTAGGTTTATTTGAACAGTTAGAGACAGAATAACAACAAAAAAATCCAGAAAAACACATGTAAAAAATGTTATAAATTGATTTGCATTTTAATGAGGGAAATAAGTATTTGACCCCCTCTCAATCAGAAAGATTTCTGGCTCCCAGGTGTCTTTTATACAGGTAACGAGCTGAGATTAGGAGCAAACTCTTAAAGGGAGTGCTCCTAATCTCAGTTTGTTACATGTATAAAAGACACCTGTCCACAGAAGCAATCAATCAATCAGATTCCAAACACTCCACCATGGCCAAGACCAAAGAGCTCTCCAAGGATGTCAGGGACAAGATTGAAGCATTGATAAACTCTCAACTTCTCTCCTTCTTAACCAGGAACTGTATCTTAAATACATATCAGTCTGGATTTAGACTGGAACATAGTACCATTCTGCTGCATCACTTGTTCTCAATGATATTGAATGCTTTTTTTTTTTTACAAAAAACTGCAAAAAAAGTGTTCAAAAGCATTCTATACTGTGGATCACTCATTATGATTGCATTACCTGTTCTCTGTCAGACTTGATAGTAATGCGCTTGATTTAAAAAAAAGGTACTTCAGTGATTGATCTCAATGTATAATTGCTGACTGTGTCAACTCACAATTATTCGAGGTCACTAAAGGTATTCCTCAAGGGTTCATTTTCGGGCCAGTATTATTCACACTATATACAGTATAAACGATATGGGCCATTCTGTCTGTTCTTGCTCGGACAAAGCCTATTTGTCCAAGGCTTACTTGTCCAAGGCTTACTTACTATATAAAATATATTGGGTCCTTAGTGAAAAACTGTAATCAAATCAAACTTTATTTGTTACATGCGCCGAATACAACAGGTGTAGACCTTACTGTGAAATGCTTACTTACAAGCCCTTAACCAACAATGCACACTTGTATGCTGATGATACTGTGCTGTACTCATCCACCTCTTCTGTGAACCAGGCTATACCTGATCTACAGACTGCTTTTAATGTCATAAAAAAGCACTTGTTGAGCTTAAACTGGTACTGAATACGGACAAAACAAAGTATATTCTATTCTCTAGAGCCCACAACATTGACTACACAGACTTACATATCTGCAAGTTGAATGGAGCCCAAATTGAGCGAGTCCCCTCATATACAGTGCATTCGGAAAGTATTCAGCCCCCTTGAAATGTCCACACTTTGATACGTTACAGCCTTATTCTAAAATGGATTAAATAAAACAAATTTCTCATCAATCTACACACAATACCCCATAATGTCAAAGCAAAAACAGGTTTTTAGAATTGTTTGCAAATGTATATAAAAATAGAAAAACAGAAATACCTTATTTACATAAGTATTCAGACCTTTTGGTATGAGACTCGAAATTGAGCTCAGGTGCATCCTGTTTCCATTCCTCATCCTTGAGATGTTTCTACAACTTGATTGGAGTCCACCTGCGGTAAATTCAATTGATTGGACATGATTTGGAAAGGCACACACCTGTCTATATAAGGTCCCACAGTTGACAGTGCATCTCAGACCAAAAACCCAGCCATGAGGTCGAAGGAATTGTCTTAAGAGCTCTGAGACAGGATTGTGTCGAGGGTACCATAACATTTCTGCAGCATTGAAGGTCCCCAAGAACACAGTGGCCTCCATCATTCTTAAATTGAAGAAGTTTGGAACCACCAAGACTCTTCCTAGAGCTGGCCGCCCTGGCCAAACTGAGCAATCGGGGGAGAAGGGCCTTGGTCAGGGAGGTGACCAAGAACCCGATGGTAACTCTGACAGATCTCCAGAGTTCCTCTGTGGAGATGGGAGAACCTTCCAGAAGGACAACCATCTCTACAACACTCCACCAATCAGGCCTTTATGGTAGAGTGGCCAGATGGAAGGCACTCCTCAGTAAAAGACACATGACAGCTTGCTTGGAGTTCGCCAAAAGGCACCTAAAGACTGGGGCGAAGGTTCACCTTCCAACAGGACAATGACCCTAAGCACACAGCCAAGACAACAGAGGAGTGGCTTCGGGACAAGTCTCTGAATGTCCTTGAGTGGCCCAG